TATAATATACTAACATCAAAATATAGTTTAGTTCTCCCCCAATTTCTCCCCCAGGGTTGCTAACGCTGGCGTCCACAGGACTAAACATTGAAGTGGGAAGGATTGCAGCAGGTAAGTCAGGGAGCCAGTAGCGGGTGCTGCAACTGCTGTGATGGAGAAAATAAGCCTCGTCCTAGTGGGCGGCTAATACTTGACTCTAAGGAGCTGTCATGTGGAATGTGGGCCAGTATAGCTAGATCTTCCAAGAAAAACTAGAGATGTACTTTTAAAAAAATGAAGTCATCATATTTTAAAATATTGACTCGATTAGGAAAAATAACCTCTGTGTGGACCGAACATCTGTTTGGCCATACCTTGGCCAGTTTATAACCGTGGCTCGGAATTTCAAAAATAAAACCATAATTTTTAGTTTCCTTCCCTGTTTCTCAACAAATCTGACAACTTTTTTTTTTCTCTTTTAGAACACAAAAGTACAGTAGACCCTTGAAAAACATGGGTTTGAACTGCACAGGTCCACTTATATGTGGATTTTTTCAATAAATACCATAAGTGAATTTTCTCTTTGTTAACAATTTTTTAATAACATTTTCTTTTCTCCAGCTTACTTTATTATAAGAATACAGTATATAATATACAAGAATACAGTGCATAACACATACAAAATACATGTTAATCTACTGTTTATATTATTGGTAAGGCATCTAGGCAACAGTAGGCTATCACTTATTAAGTTTTGGAGGAGTCAGAAGTTACATGTAGATTTTTGACTGTACAGGGGTCAGCACCCCTAACTCTCATGTTGTTCAAGAGTCAACAGTAGATAATTTGTAGGTGACAAGGAGAAATGGAGAATCTAGGCCTTAGGAATAAATGCTTGCCTCCATTCTAGGAGAAGGAAAAATTTTTTTTTTATTTTTGATAGATCAACAACAATGAAAAATAAAAATTAAACAAATGAATAAAACAGTAACAACAAAAACCAAGAAAGGACAAGGTATTTCTCAATAAGTGATCTTGTATATTAAATTATTACTAAATGCCCTTTTGCAGTTATTAATATTTTTGATGGGGCATGTGGATTGGTTACATAAATAGAATATATTCAGAGATGCCAAGGAGTGAGTGGGATCAATGTCCCCTTGGTTTTATAGCCTGCACCTGGTCTCTCTTCTCTACTAACCTAAGAGGGGTACAGGGTATTATTACCAGTTCTATTACCCTAGAAAAAAGGATTAGGAGGCAGCCTCTCTCTTTCAGATTCTTATGCATATATTCAGATTACAGAATCTTTGGAATACATAGGTCGCATGGGGATCAGTTTAAAGGAGTGAAGGAAAGTGAATGGATTATGAGCCCTTTAGAGAAGTTTTTAAACAGAATGCATAGTCATTCCACCACAGGACGCCCTTTTCCACTCCCGCCCCCACCACTTTCCCTATATTTCTTATGTCTTTAGGGCTTATTTTTAAATTGTTTTTCTTCTCTTTCCATCTACCTGCCTGGGAGGTAATTCCATATTCTATTCATTAAATTAGAAGAAATGTTCCAGACATTTCGAAACTATAAGATTTCTTTCCTGGCCAAATTCCCTTCTGGCAAGACTGCTGTATATGTTAGTATATAAGAATGTGCACTACACAGCTTCACAGAGTGCCATTCCTATTGTCATCGATGGGGAATGTCTCCTCCTGGAGTTGTACAGAGTTCAACTTACACAGCTGTACATGTTGCCATTCCTCCTGGCAGCTGCCTCAGACCTAAGGACAGTGACTTAACTAATTAATACATTGGAAGCTCCTGCTTACCCTCCTATAAAGTATATATGCAAAATCTATGACATAGATACATTGCAACTTCTGATCATGTTACTTTTTTTTTCATTAAGAAATCTTTAATTTCTTTCCAATTCCTTCAGGAATAAGTCTGTTACCAGTGGATTCTAAAAGCGTTGGGCTGATTTTAGGAGCACCATTTGAATGAGTTGTTTAAAAAAGAAAGATTCCTAGATTCCAGATTGAAGATTCTAGCTTGAGAGTAAGGTAGGTCCTGGGAGCCTGTGTTTCAGAGCACAGCATCTCATGCTCCCTTCTAGCCTGGTAACTGTGATGCAGAGCCATGTTTAGAAAACAGATGTTATATTTCAGCTTTTCTGGAATATTCACATTATTGAATATATCATGCTCTTTGGTGCCCTAATTACATTGTACATTCCTTCTGTCTGCAAGAGCTTTTTTTTTTTTTTTAAATTTCTCTATCAAGTGAACTTGTTTCTTGTCCTTTAAGACCTAAACAAAATGGTACCTCCTTGAAGTGGACTTCTAGTACTTCCTCACCTAGAATCAATTATTCCCACTACTAGGTTCTTATAACAGTATGCATAATAGATACGATCCTTAAAAATTGTTCATTAGATATCGCCACCAAAGAACTTTTAAAACTATGTACTTAACATCGTAAATATATTTGCTTCGTGTTTACACCGTAAGTTTAAATCACTACCAATAATATAATTTCTAGCATATTGAAACATCAAACTCTTTCAAATAATGTATGCTATCTTTTTTTTTTTTTGGTACATTCAAAGTAATCACAATACCTGTCTTAGGTCAAGTTCTTCCAGAAGAAGACACTATTCTAGTGCAGGTGATTTATTAAACGGGCACTCTCAGGAGAAACAGTAAGGGAGTAGAAAATACATGATAGGATTCAGGTGAAGCCCCAGCCTCAGCCTGATGCTGCTGGGAGTTCAGATGGCAATTGCACATCCAAGTTTATCTCATTTACGGGCAACGGAGTTGTCTTGAAGTTCTGCACTTGTCATCATTGGCTATGAGACAGTGGGTATGTATGTGGAGGGTAGGGGAACAGGAAACAGACTTCTACGCTTTTCCTTCTCTCTTTTAGGGTGGAGAGGCTCCAGTAGCCTAAAGCAAGGGCAGCAAAACAAGCAGGCTGGGAGGTGGGGTGCAACACTAAATAAAGAGAACTGCGGCTACTTGGATGGGTTCCAAAAGTGTCCTCTACAATACCCCAACAACATATTATCAATAGTTTCAAAAAGACATAGACTTCTGATTCTGGGAAAATGGAGTATATATACTTATTCCTGTTCCTTCCACTAAGTGCAACTAAAAACTCTGCTCTTTATATATAAAACATAAGATGACTGTGAAAGGTGAAGATAGGAAGGACCAGCTAGGAATCTTGGGACCTAAAGAGCAACACAGTGGTTGAGCTCTCTGGGTTTTCCTTTGACCTTATATATCCCAGACTGGGCACTGGAAAAGCTAGCAACTCAGAAATGCAATGGGCTCAAATTAAAAAAAAAAAAAAGGCATAACAAAAGACTGCTCCCTTTAGCTGAAGAACCGGAAAGGAATGGCCTAAGAAAAATTTTAGAAAGTAACAACTCTACTGATAAGGCCCAGAAATTAGCTGTTGCATAGGAGACAGGTCAGGGCCGGAGAGTGGGAAGTCACTGCCTCAGAAGTTAAGGCTATTGGGATGAGATGGCTGGGGTGGAGAGAGGCATGCAAATGAGGGCCAAAGACAGAAACTTGGGAATGTTTATAGCATTATTAGCTTTTAGTTTACAATTTTAATACTTGGGAGCTCTTTAAAAAATACATGTTAACTGTCCCTGGAGAACCTTAGGTCCTTTCTGTATTTTTTCAAAATTCTAAAGATGATTCTAAGGTGCAATAAATGTTGAAAATTATTGAAGGGTTGGAGAGAAAAAGAATTGAGGACTTGCCATAAACAGGAAAATGATTTAGAAGTATTCAGGATATCCACGAAAGTGCCAGTTCGTGGATGCAAGATTGGTCAACAGCACCAAAGCTGCAGGATGGCAAGGAAATTGAGGACTCTAAAGGCGTTCTTTCTGGAACGATGAAACAGAGGACTGTGTTAAAAGACTTCCTAAGTGTTGTAGGAATACTAACAGAAATTAGAAAAGTAAATATTAATATCTTGTTTTAAAGGCAAAAAAGAGAGCAGTTCAGAGCTGATAGAAAAAAAGGAGTAAAGAAAAATCTCACAATAACTTGAGAACTGTCAAGACACTATCGCTTATGATTTTAAGAGGATGATAGATGTCTATAAGTCAATCTATTGTAAAAATGAGAGTACAAAATGGTAAGTCAGAAGGCAAGCAGTGAGATGCAAATCTAATTTATGAAAAGACTTTAAGCAAATTATAAAAATACAAGGAAATGCCAAAATGACAACTCAAAGTGTACTACTTTACATAATGTTTATTTGACATTCTGGTATTTTTTAAACATAACTTATTAGTTTTTGACTAGTAATTTCCCTTTATATAAAATTTTTGATTTGATATATTCTGAAAAGTGTTAATGCCTCATTTTAAAATGAAAATAGGAAATAGTAACTAACACATGTGCAAAAGTTTATTCTGTACAGTTTTCACATTTTGATTTAACTTGATTCTGTCAATAGTCCTCCTATGTAAATACAGCAGGTTTTAGAATAACTGTATACAAAAGAGGAAATGGAAGCCCTTGGAAATTAAGGGATTTTCTCAAGGACCTCCAACTGCTGCGTAGCAGTCAGAACTCAAACCCAAGTTGGAATTCCATTTCCTTGTAATTTTCCATAGCACATTTGTCCCAGTAGGACTCCTGTATCTTATCATTTCTGACCTGGCTTAGTGAAAAACTATGCCCACTGTTTGCCAGTGGCAAGCTCTGGTGTGTGAGAAATAAAGGGGAAAGGTATTTCAGATATTTTGTACTGAACGATGGGGTATCAGTTGCTTTATCCACAAGGTCAAAAGAAAGGAAAAAAAACTTTTCATTGGATTCCATGCAACAAGAAGTAAACTCTGACCTGCCTTTAAAAGTCAGAGATTTCAAGGTTAAAAATAAATGAAATGTTACTATTTTTATTCAAATATTCCTAATGTTAAAGTGCTTTTAAAAGGGTATGACAGTTCTCCTGTTTTGCAGAAGTACAAATTAAAATTAAAAAAAAAGGGAGGCATTAAAAAATCATAATTTTATTTTTGTAATGAATTCCAATGTGATTAAAAGATGGTATTTAATGAGTAAACATTATATACAGCTATTTTAAACAGCCATCTATGTTTATAAAATGAATTTCTCTAAAACATAGAGAAAAATTAAATCTTGCTTTTCTGAATGTATGATACACTCAATAAACTAAAATACTCTTATACAGAGCACCTTTATAGTAATTATTTGAATCATCATTCTACCAAGACACTTCAGAATCAAATCTTAGTAATCTTCAGGGAAGATAGTGACACTGATTCCTAGATCATCATCGTTTTCAAGTTCTTTATCATTTTCTTCAGTAGTACATTTGCCACTTGCTTTTCCTTGTTTTTTTTTTTTCTTATGAGAATATGAGTTACTTTTCTTGTTGATTTTCTCTTTGGGATATGAGTCAGTTTCTCTTTCCAAAGCATGTTGTAGGCAGTTGTAAAACCTGTAAGAAATAAGTACTACTGTTATATTTGTGTGTTCTGAAACTGAATGATTGAAATACACCTAGAACTTGTAAACTATGTAAACTTGATCTCCCATATTAACCTTAATATGTGAAATGAATCAAAGAAATAATATGCTTCTTGCTTTTATTATTAATTAGAAAAAAACATGTATTTTCAGTTCCTTAAGAAGAGTCCTGAAAATTGGGTTGGAATCACCTCCTGACAATCTCTATTCTACCTCAATTTCTATTCCACGTAGAGGGTCAAACAAAGGAGGTAAAAAAAAAAAAAGATTATTTCTTTATAAAAAATCATAATGTAATAGCTCATTTTAGAAAATTTAGAAAATACATGAAGTTACAAATAAAGATCATCTCTAAATAACTACTAAGAAATAGCTACTCTTTCCAGTTAAATGTATTCTGAATTAATGTATTTATACATGCACCTACTGT